ACCGGAATAAAAGCCTCTCGCTCGTTCCTCTTTCTCTTTTTATACAATTATATCTAATATCCAGTGGTATTTCCCGCTGAAATTCCTACACCTATCCTTTCCACTCATAGTGTTAGTGGTTCTGTCAGTTTATTTTATCTAATCTTCTGACAACTGGACGATATTCATGTCTACCTAAATGTTGCATTTTATGCCGCTCTCGTCCTGTTTTGGCCATGTGTTCAGATAATCTCTTATGACTTGGTTGTTAGGTCTCATAAAGACATTATCGCATCATCACAATACCTCGTACAGATTTACTGAGTCTCAAAACCTACTTTATGTGAATAAAAGCGACAGTTACCTGTAATTACGGAATATAAATTTAGCTCATTGACAATCCTATTATATAGAATCACATTTTGACGCTTTTGATAGTGAAAAATGTCATTAAAGCCTTGCTTATTTAGAGCCATACGCGTGAAGCTTAATTGTTAAATAGTGTTGGATAGAAAAGTAAATAAATGCTACATATTGAAGAAGCTGAAATCGGCAGCCCAAAAAGACACATTTTTACAAATCACAAGCCATTTTTGAAGTAAATGGTAGAAAGAGATATTTTTAAAAATCGAAATCACGAAAACATTGATTGATAAAACACTATCGGGGTATCATTTCCAACTAACCACATATGCATTAATTTGAATAGAAGAACTGTAGATAAAAGATAGAGCTGTAGACGGATGAAAAATAAAATAAAGAGCAGACAGTTTAAATCGAAAGGCCAAAAAAAGAATAAATGAAACTAGTAGCAGAGAAGCAACCCAATGTACAGTGAAAGGAAATTGTCCGATCGGAAGCTTACCTATTCGTCATAACGGAGTTCATTATTAATGAAGAGTTGATGAAAACTGGGAATGGATTATTATGGCCTAAAATTGACAGACCATATTTAAAATCAAAGCATAATTTGAAGTTATAATTAAGGACCAATATATACAATAGCAGCGATGGAATAAAACGACCTTCAAAAATACCTTTTCGTGCTTACCTTGAGAAAGAAAAGACAGCATTGCTTAAAAGATGAAAAGAAACGACTCAAAGACATGAGACAATGACAAAGCAGAGTAGCGTCGTATGAAAATAAGGGACAAGAAGCGTGAGCACCGAGACGATTGGAGGAGACCAGGTTCACTCAAGATAGGATATAAAACAATGAGATGGCGGGATGTGAGGTAATCAACGGCAGGCTATGATGACGTTGCACCTTCCAGCTCTGTAACAGGAAAGCTCTCCGAAGTGTTATTTAACATTGAGAAGGCTTCTTCATGGCTTGTTGAGGACAAATTGTTTTTATTATCTTCTGAATCTGTGTGCACTACCAGCGGAGATTTGTCAGTGCTGCTTCCATCGACCTGAGATGACGTAAGCACAAGTTCAGAGTTTGATGACACGACTGGCGAGGCATTTTCATCTTTTGGATTCTGGGTAATATGCAGAGATGGAGAAGCCGGTTCGGGAAGTTTCGACATGGAGTTAGGCTCTGTCGGAGAACCAGGGATTCGAGATAGCTTCTGCTCTTCCTCCATGTTATTTGTCTGATCAGACTCTCTTATCTTCTGGTTTTCATTGTTTGTAATCCTTTCAACTTCTTTAGTTTCAATTTCTTTCCACGTACCCTCAGTCTCAACCCCATCGCCCTTGTCGTTTTCAACTATCTTATTTTGATATTCTTGTTCCACATCATCGAGCTTATCCATTGGATCCTGCTTAGAAGTATGAAGAAAATCTGGCATGTCACGTGTCATTGCCTCCATAGATTTAACCTGGGGTTGGGAGAAACTCTGTGCAATTCCTGAATATCCAGCAGATGGATGGCTGGGTTCATAACGCGTCATGCTACGTGTAGTACGTAAAAGTGAATTCGTTGACGCAGAAGATACTGCAGAGGAGTGATCACATTCGCCTTCATCATCGTCCCCCTCTTGTTCAACATCCGCATCGTCCTCTTCCTCGTCAAGAAAAGTCACGCCCATCCTAACCCGATCCTCATCTATGATTTCATCAGAATTAGTTCCCAAATTTTGTTTGCTTTGAGGTGCTTTCTTTGTCTAAAAAGTGAATAGTATCACAGCTTACAAAATTTATTTAATAAGAGTGCATAGAAAAACCATTAGATCAAGATACTAAAAGCTTGTAGGAAATTATAAATATATTTTTATATGGCATTGGTACACTCCGATACCTTCTGGAATATAGGTGAATATGGATTACTAACATAGGATCGAAAAGTGATAAGTGACTTATTCGAAGAGAATGCAATGGCAATACTTTTTGTGACTCCTAGAATGCCTGGCCTTCAACTGAGGCAAGATAGGCAAGGAGACAAACGGAGAAATTAATCCAAGTCAAGAAGAAAGAGACAGTCTTCTTGACTTAGCTAACTTGAGGCTTTTAAACGAATAAGTCCCTGCTCGAAGGATGTTTGTCATATTATGAACGAAAGCTCAACCCGTCTTCGTCCGAAACGTTAGAAAATGTCTCGATTTCATCAATCTGAAAGCCGTACTAATTCCAAACGGCTGCAGTACGATGCGAATCGGCCGGCGTCTTCTGGTGAGATTGATCTACGAAGCTTTTCATTATTCACTTAATTACGAAATAAAAATCTTCACAGCAATCTAATCTCAGGGGCTTTCTAAGCCCGCATTTTCTTCGTATAGATTATATTGGATTGGAGGTATAAGGAAAGTAGAGGAATCAAAATCTCGTTGAGTTCAAGCCTAAATAAATTTCCAAACAGAAATCCAATTTTCGAAGATACACCTAAAGCTAATTCAAATTATTTCGAATAAAAATCAGCCTTATACTACTGCATTTTAAGGATTCAAGAGGACTACTGTTTCGCTGCTTTTAGACAAATTATAGTTGGCATACTCAATGGGGCCGAGTGGGTAACGTATCAAGCTCACATTCTGCACTGTCATGGTTCGACTCTCGCTGTGGGTGTTGATAAGGCCTATGCGAGATCGAAACTGTAGTCCACCCTGGATAACACTTTTTGGAAAGCAAGGTTTTGTGAAATTCAATG